CTGGACGAAGCGCAAGACGCGGTTGGCCATCATCTCGGCCACGTACCTAGCACCACTTCCATACATTCCACAGTGGAAAAGGGCCTACACGAGCTTCGAATCGGGCGAGACGGCGACGGCGCACGGGTGGGCGAGGCAGTCGAGCGCCAATGGCTTGAGAATTTGGCCGCCGCTCGGGTTGGCGGCGATGCAAAAGACGCTGCCGCGTGGGTTCTCGAGCGTCGTCTCGCCGAGCGGCCCGCTGTCGGTAAAGTACGTGTTGGCCGGCGAAATCGCAATGCTGCTGGGGCCCTACGACTCGAATCTCGCACACGCTTCTTTATCGAGCCATAGTACGCGAAAGGGCTTTTCCTCGTAGACCTTGACGACGATGCCGGGCTGGTGGCTGTGGTTGGCGAGGTCGACGCGCAGAATCGCAGCGTGCGCGCAGTCGGCGATGTGCACCTTGCCGTGCGCGTCAAAGACTGCGCCGTACGGCTCGCCGCCTGTGTACGCGAGCGCCGAGTGCTTCCCCTCCGAGTAGGCAAACACTTCGCCTGTCCCGGACGAGACATATCCGATGACCTCCTTTCCGTTGATCTCGCGCGCGAACGGGCTGCAGATCTTGGTGCCCTTGCAGCGCAGCGTCTCCTGGAGGTAGCTGCCCATCGAGGATTTCTTGGTCGTTTCGTAGGTGCCATATCTTGCGAGCGCACGTTTCTTGGCACAGAAAGGCTGAACGTTATGAAGACGCGGCAACCAAACCAGCATCACGCCCGAATGAACGTCTCGTTCAAGCCGCTGCAGACCGCCTCACGACGCAAGGACCACATTTTACACTTCGTCACCAAGGCGGTGTCGGACGCAGTCGTTGTCCCGGCGTTTGAACCCAGCTGACGCGGTGCTTCCCGCCGACTTTCGAGCTCAGCACTAGGCCACTGGCACAGTTGTTTCTGTGGCGTCGACGGCTGCCGCTGGGCTTGCCACAGAGCTGCCCGAAGAGGACAACCCGATCGACGTCGCATTGGCCAGCAAGGCTAGTGTCAGGGTTGTGTTCACAGGCGAGCATCCCTTCAACCTGCGCACGCGTGGGCTGGAGCCGTGTCGCAACGAGTGTGCGCTCTTCCAGCCCAACGCGCCATTCGAGGCCAAAGACTCTCGAGGTCATTAAAGACAAGAAGGATAATGTGTTCAACGACGCGACGAGCTACGGCTACTGCTGCTTGGCTTGGGGAATGTGGTTGGGCGCGTCGGCAAAGTACGTTTGGAGAATGTACGCGCGCGAGAGGAGCGGCTCAATGTCGTCCTCTTCCCACTCTTTGGTCGGGAGGCTCTGGAGGAAGAGCACGAGGTCCTGAAACTCCATTTCCTTGAGCATGTCGCCAAAGGTCATGAGGATGGCCGCGCAGACGTAGACGTGGAAGTTCTCAAAGCCATTGTCCTCGCATAAATACGTGTCCCAGAGCCGGATGATCGCGTGCAGGGGGCACTCGCGCATGAGGAGACAGTTCATCCAGCGGAACGCAAACTGCACAAACTGCACCGACTCGGTCTCGACAATGTGCGTGTACAAGTCGGCGTCGCAGCGCTTGACGAGGTCTTCCATGCGCTGCACCATGCGCTGCAAGCCCGGCTGTGAAAACGTATAGTGGTCCTACAAGAAGAATAAGAATACTAGCTAGAGGCATGGCAACCTGGATGTCGTCGAGAAGCTTGGTGAGGCACCAGTAGCTGTCGGCCTCGACTTCCTGGAGCGTTTCGTCCGAGACACCGCTCAAGTCGCTTCGCTCGGGGTTGTCTACGGTGCCACGTCATGTAAAA